GGAGTTAGAGACTACTATAAATGATTTTCTTGTCACTTGTTGATCACAAAAAATCCTAGTCTTCTCCTTTAAATGCTTGCATTCTCGTAAGCTTCGTTTCTCAACTCCTCCGATTCTTGCAATTGAAGTTTTCTATGCACTCTGGTTGGTCGAGATTCATGTTACACTTCTTTTTCGCCCAATATGCTTTGTACTCGAGTTCAACTGACAGATGGCATGGCTTCCCAAATACTAATCTATAGGGAGACATTTCTATAAGAGTTTTGTAGGTGGTTTTATAAACCCATAATGCATCCTCCAATCTAGAATTCCAATCTTTTCTATCGGGCCGAAGCATCTTTTCCAATATAGATTTGATTTCTCGGTTCGAAACCTCTGCTTGCTCATTTGTTTAGGAGTTATATGTCATAAACACCTTGTGATTTACACCACATTTTTTAAAATGTGCCGTCATCATTTTATTGCAAAAGTATTTTTCCCTATCACTGGCCATAGATCATGGTACCCCAAAATGAATAAAAATATATGATCGAATGAAATTTGCAACTACTTTAGAATCATGAGTCCGGGTGACTTTTACTTTCACCCACTTCGACACATAATCAATGGCCAACAATATATAAAGGAAACTATAAGATGAAGGGAAAGCACTCATAAAATCAATACCCCACATATAAAAAATTTTACAAAAAATTATAGGAATTTGTGGCATATGATTTCGATGAGATATATTTCCTATCCTTTGGCACCTGTCACAAAACTTACAGAACAAATACGCATCCTTGAAAATGGAGTGCCAGTAAAAACTGTTTTCCAACACCTTACGAACCATCCTTTGCGGTCTAAAATGACCTCCGCATGCATAAGAGTAACAAAATGTTAGAATTGAATTGAACTCACTTTCACTTACGCATCTTCGCAGTACTTGATTTGCACATTGTCTCCATAAGTAGGGGTCATCCCACAAGTAATACTTAGCATCACTCCTAAACTTATCTCCTTTTGCCTTTGACAACATGCAGGCAATTGATTAGTAACTAAATAATTTACAATATCTGCATACCAAGGGAGAGAAGAGCGAGTAGAGAACAGTTGCTTATCAGGGAAAGTCTCCCTTATTACAAAATCGTCTTGAGCAAAGAGTAAGCAACTCAAATGATCCGCAACTAAGTATTCCACTCATTTCTTATCACGAATCTCCAAATCAAATTCTTGTTGAAGTAAAATCCACCTGATCAATCATATGAAAAATTTTGAGCAAATGTGAAAAATACAAGAAATTTTCAAGTTATCTTCTAATAAGATAAATCGCTGTAGGTATGGAGGATTGCTTTCCTTCATTTGTTGAGCATTGACAAAGGTGTTGTTAAAATAAATTTTAAGTGGAAGAGGTCAAGCAATAGTAGATTGAAATTGACGTAAAAAGTTGTAGGCAAGTTTTCAAAAAATATAAGAAAAAATAAAATTATTTGAATTTTTTTGTTATTCATACACGAAAATTAAATATTATTTTTGGAAATGTATTTGAGGGCTACATTCTAGGTTTAACTCTTTTTATATTGGAGCAAGTCAAAACAAATTAGTTGTAAAAACTCGCGAGCTCTCTTCCCTCATTTTTCTATTAGTACAAAACAAGATGCGATCAAATTGGATACCTTGTATCATTGTATGTGTACAAATAGCTATAGTATGCAGTAGAAGTTTAGTAGGACTCTAAAGGGCTTTCAATTTTGAAATTACATCGGGGAGTTTTATGATAATAGGAAAGTATGTGTTCTATTTGCCAGACTTCATTGTTGTTGTAAATTTGAGGAACTACATTGCTCAAGTTTCGAGAATGAAACTTTTATAAGGAGGGAAGAATGTGATACCCTAAGTATTTTTGACTAATTCCTTTGCTTATTGCTGGAAAAAAATCGCAAGAATATAAATATGATATTGGAGTGGTATGGAACTATGCCTACCGTGCATAATAAGCAACGGTCAGGAATCTAGAAGAAAAAGGTGGCGACCACAGCCACCTGCTCCTGAAATAGACCAAAGATCCATAAAATGCTTAAAGTAACTTGAAGAATGAATTATATGAAAACTCAGCTTGAAAATCTTTTGTAACAAACTATACGAAAGGACAAAGCTACAAGTTTTACTCATGACAGATGGTAGAAAGTTTAACAAACTTTACCTTCCAGCTTTCTCAGCTGCCGCATATCAATCAAGTTGGCAAGCATCAGCATTTTCAACCAGCTGTTCGCAGAGTCTCTGAAGTTCTCTCAAAGTGCCTAACTGCAAATTCATTTCAGAAGGTGTTTCACTTTTAAAAGACAACGACAACATAGAAGACTATGACCATACACTGCTCACATAGTACAGAAATGTTTTTCTTAACATCATTCAAAATTTCCTTTTTTTAAAACCTATTCTCTTTTGAAAGCAATCCTTAGTATCTATAAGGAAAGAGAAATACAAGTAGCAAAATGTTTACCTAACATCTATTTAACTGTTAAAATTATCTGTAGCCAGTACGTCTAAAATTATCGAGCAGATTTACACATGATATCAGCAAGCTAAGATATCATTTCTAGTTTGCCATTATTGTTACAAGCTAACGAGAAAAAATCTTTTGAAAGGAGAGTAGCTCAGCCAGGTGTAGATGTAAGTTGCAACAAACTTAACAAGAGTACAAGCAATAGGATTACCATTCTTAAAATCCTCGCCTTGTGTGTTTACTAATCACTATGCACTCTGTTACCTTCAAAGGAATTAAATCATAAAGTGGTAATTCCGTTAACCAACTTGGCAAACATCTCCATCCACAAGTTCACCAGAGGTAACTCTTCGCTCGTATTCTACAAGGGGCCCTGCTCCATTTATTTCTGCAATTGACGCAAAATGATCCAATAAACAACAAAAACTAGAACTTCATGTCCATTAAAAATGCCACCAGAATAGCGAACCATAAATCACTAATAAGGTATCAACCTCCAATAGCTACTCTTGTAGCATCAGCATGCAAACCTCTGGAGAATAGGTAAGATGGATAGTAACATCTGCAAATATCTGCATATTGGTGTAGACTGTAGGTTGCCCTTCCACTCGTATTGACCCAAAAATGCTAGTCTTTTTGGAAATCCGTTAGCGATAGTATCTCCTCTGTACCGAGAAGCTGATCTGAATTGCTTGATGGACCTAAGAACTGCTCTCATCTCCAAATCAGAACTCAAGTAAAGCCAAAAGGGGATAGCTGCCAATCCAATTTTGCTAAGGAAAGAGTCAAAATTCCCAATTAACATATTACATCCAATATCAAATTAGAGGCTGAAAAAAAAAACAAGAATCACGTCTTTTGCATACAATCCTGCCTGGTCAAAAAGATTAAAGAGATTAAGAGAAAAGGTCAATGAACACACCTGATTAGACAAACTGAGCAAAACCCAGGTGTAAAAATTATGAATTCAAAGACTGGATTATTCTTAGGCTTTTTCAATAACTAATGAATCTTCTTGTAAATTCGACCAGATGTGTTTTTTTTTTCATCTAAAAATTTTTCTTAAATTTGGACATAGAATAAAACAAATTGATTCAGCAAACAGGTAAGCCTGGCAGCCTTCAAATTTTTTTTTTTTTTAAAAAAAAAATCCAACTGCCAGGCCATTTAAAAAAAAATTCCAAGCAGGCTATCAGGCTGACAGCCCAGTAGCCTTTTAGAAAGATTCCCAACTGGCTACTAGGCCTATGAAAAACTAATTTACTTGCTCACTTTTTTATCGTGGACCTATTTTGTTTAGGATATTTGGCAAATTTTCAATCAACTCGGTGATTTTCTGCCAAATATTTTAAATTAATTTATATTGTCAAGGAGAGGGTTAAAATCTTTTTGTGTGATAATGTAAAATAAACAGATCAAGTTCACAATCAACTAGTGGGGATTCAAAACATTTTCATTAATTCAAAACAGAATATGTCTCCAACAGAAAGTAGTATTTTCTATAGTGGGTCATGACTGTTTGGTGGGTAGACTTGTAGTTGCCGGACTCGGAACGTTGGCAAATTTTCTACCCAATGGCCCGCTATATGGGCACGTCAAGATCATGAAGGCTATTTACTTAGAATTTTTTTTGCTTCTCCAAAATTTATATGTGCATTTAAATTCCTTGATACATTTGTTTATTCTTTTTTTAGCTTCAACCTTTTTATGGATTAAAAACCACCAAAATGTTTTGCTTATAAAAAATTGAGTGAAAAAAAAAGAGAAAGAGTTTATCAAGTCTTATTGAATGTATTGAGCGAGATTTTCAACATAGAAAGAAGTATAAACCCATACAAATATTGTAAAGAGTTTTCAAAAAACAAGTTTAAACTTTTTTATATATTCACTTTAATGAAGAACAATTGCAAGATCATCTGCTTAATAGAGTGTGCGGAACTTATTTAGTAAGTTGTCAATTTTTGGCCGGCTTATTCCTGGAGATGGACTAATCCAACCAGTCATTAATTAAGTGGTCCATACCATCAATTCTCATACAAATTGATAAAACAATACGTCACTCGAGGGACTTTCTATGACGGCTTTAAGTCAGTTGGTGGCCTCGTGCTAGAGCACGAGGTTGACCAGGCATTATTCTGATATTTTCTTTTTTTCCTCGTAGTTAAGTGAGGAGATTGATTGTTAAATGCAGAGGTATAAAATTATACTAAGCTACATGGATGCATAGATAAATGAACAAAAATAACTTTCAAAAAAAAAAAAAAAAACATGATATAGGAGTCACTTGAGTCCATTCATCTAAGAGTAAACTCGACAAACATGTAAACCTCAAGGGCAAACATGGGCGCCATACAATGAATTCAACTAATAAGTAACACCATTAATTAACACTGACATTCCTCTGTATCTACGTAATCCATAGTGCCATGCCAGCTGAACTAAGCCGAGCTGAACTAAGCCGAGGCACCTTAATGTAATCGTAATTCTAAAACCACAATAAGTCACAAGCAACATGTAGGCGGGTCATGGAAAGATCATATAAAAAATACAAATGAAACTACCAGAAACCAAAAACATAGCATGCATCCATGCCAAAAAATTCAGCATATAATCAGCAGCCAAACCTAAGGCACACCGCAGCAGAAGAATACAAAAGATGAAAAGCAACAGACGGATAAGGCAAGAAAATATCATTCGAAGCATTGGCAAAAGCATGCACGATCAAAAAGATACAGAAAGACGTATTTTTGCATGAGTCCAACCTCCAAGCAGACCAATTTGCTTCACGTAACTGATGGAATAATACATGCACCCGGAAAACACCAATAGAATAAAAGAGAAAAATAAAGCTATCGTGGAACCCACGCACAAAGCAAAAGATGCAAAAGGAATCTGGGCGAATAGGAACATCACAAAGAAGGTTTATCCAAGAAAGTGCGCATCCTATCCAGTGCAGAGTTGGCAGAGGCTCTTGCTGCAAGGGAGGCGGTTTTGTCAGCCAAGATATTGATGATCCCAAGCTTAATTCTTGAAGGAGACGCGTCATCAGCTATAAAGCAAATTAGTAGCTCCGACGAGATCCTCTCCGACTTAGGCACTGTTATAGAGGATATCCGTATTTCCTTGTTTGACCAATACATTGTGCATGTAGTCTGGATTTATAAGATGCAAATAAGATTGCGCATATTTTAGCAAATTTGCTGGATCATCCAACATCCTTGAATCTCTTTGGAACTCCCAATCCCCCGCTCCTCAGCTTTTGTCAAACAGTTGGTGCTGGATGATTTCCAGCAATCTAATTGATTAATACAACCTTTCATTTTTCAAAAAAAAAAAAGAAGAAAAACCAAATGCATGCGCAAAAATCCAGCTGAGCAGAAATAATTATAATACGATTCAAGGGAAAATAAACTAATTCACCTGTCAGTACAAAAGCGGAGCAAAATATAACCTCAGTGGAGCAGCAAACTCGCGAATTCCCTCCACAGCACTTAGGTGAGGAACTCTCCTGCCTAAAGGTAGAGCGTGTTTTGATTTGAGTTGAGCACCGAAAGTGAATCAATGGCGAGCATTCAAAGCCAATAAATCCAACGGCCAACGCACAAACAGACCATCTCCCAACTTACGTTCAGCTACAGCGGGGCCAGGCCTCACAATTTGAGGCGCTTTCCATTTGTGACAATTTCACGATCAGGATTAAGTTGGGATAAAAGGACGGTCAGGATAAAGCCACGATTGAGTTCTTATTGGGATAACAATGCAACATTATTGTTTCATATGGGGAAAAGAAAATTGAAAATTGAAGTAACAAGACGGCGTTTGGAGAACTCCTTACCCGCAAATAGTAAAAAAGTGAAAAAAAACATAACGAACTATGGAAAGCGAGACCTTCTGTACTGCATTCATTCTACTCCTTAAATCTAAGAAATTTCTGAGGAAATCCAAATTGGGGAAACATGGTCTCAACTTCTTCAACTTCATGAAAAGTGAAGTTTTGCACTCCTATTGCGATTTATTAAGGCATTGCTAGTGGGTCGTTGAATTTTTTTAAAGAAAATTCTCAAATCATCAAAGTATCAGAGGTATATTCTTGGGTTTTCACAATATTTATGGATATTGGAATTTTTTGTCTTCATTTGTTGTAATCACAAGGGATATAAAAAGGCATTTTCCCCCAAATTTGTGACGAAATTCCCAATATTTATGCAATGAAGTTAACAGTGGTTGTAGTAGGATCAAGGAATAGCAGAGGAGATGGCGTGATGAAGAAGGAAGAGAAGGCGTGAGAGTTGTTAAAGAAGACAGAAAGGAAAGCATGATTCGGGAAACATGCCTTTGTTGGGTTCACATTGCTTGAGTTGTAGTTGGAGACCATTTCAGCTAAAGATTCTCGATGGACACGTGTTAGAACATTATTAGTTCACTTGAAAGCTAGTTTAGGATGATAGTGGTATAAACCATGAAGGATTTGTAATAGTTAGTTCAACTTTTGGCAGATTTGATTTGTATCAGAGAAGGGATACCCTCTCTGCTATTTTCCCTCTCCCCAAGCTTCCTTCAACCTCTTCTGTTTCTTATCTTATTTCATTTACTCTGTTTCTGTAATTACTCTTTTTAATTAATTATCATCAATGAAAGTTGAGTCCTCTTTTAAACTCCCAAATTTATAGTTTATTTGTGAGATTGTTTGCCTTTGTTGGTTTAACCCATTTATTCATTTCTGGTTCTAAATCACGATAGTGGTATCAGAGCTTAGCTATGAGCCATAGGGATGACAAGACCTCAGGATGAAATGTTCAAATGACATGTAGTTGAACTAGGCAGTGTAGTGAGAACATTTACTAACAAGAGTGAAGGAATGGAAAAGGCAATTAGAGCTATGGAGATAAGGTAGGATTCTACTCAGAAGCTACTGAAGGGATTATATCAAAAGTATGAAGGGATGATGATCATGATGGCACAACTAATGGCTAAGATCAGTGACAAGGGTAAGGAGCTAGAGGGGAGTAGTAACTCAAGAGGAGAAGCACAACAAATTGAATCTAAGTTGGAACTGCAGAAAGAGGTATTTGGAAAAAGGGAAACCAAAATTCTTAACAAGCTACCTAAGCTAAGATCCAATTTGTATGAGAAAACCCAAGGGAATGGATCCGAAAGGCTAATAAGTACTTCAAAATTCATGGGACAGAAGAAGACATGAAAGCTGAAATTGCTAACCTAGATTTCAGAGACACAGCAAACATCTAGTTTCATGGGGTTTCAATGGAACGGAGAGGATCCCCTGGACAGAATTAGCAACTGCTTTGTGCATCAAATTTGGAGAAGATACACCTAAGGAGGCCATTGAAGACTTCAACAAACTGGTGCAGACAGGGTCTGTGGCAGAATACTTGGAGAAGTTTGAGATCCTCAAACACCAATAATGCCATCCTTACCCCACTTGTCTGATTCTTATTATAAGGCATGTTTCATGAGTGGTCTAAAAGAAGAGATAGTCATTATGGTGAAATTGGCCAAACCAGGAACCTTGGTTGATGTCATTGAGGCAACCAAGTTGCAAGAAAAGAATCTGAAAGCCATACAGAAGATGCATAAATTTCCTTTTACAAATTATAATAACCATACGGGCAATTCAAAAAGCCAACCCCACTCCAAATGGAATCACATTGGCTCCAAAACTTTGATAAGGCTGCTCTTTAGAACACTAAAAATCTTAGTCATAACCAAAACCAATTTGGAAAGATCTCTCCTGCTAAGTTTAACTTGAGAAGAGCAAAAAGAATTATGCTATAAATGTGCTGAACCATACACCTTAAGGCATGTATGCAAATAGTCCCATATTCATTTCCTATTAGTAGATGATGCTGAGGTACCAGAAAGATGGGAAAGTAATGAAGAGTAGGAGAATGAAGTTTTCTGTGACTGCATTAATGGATAACTGGTGAATGAACAAATGGAGGTATCCATACATGCATTAGCTGCGGGAAATGAACATAAAACAATCAGAATGAGTGGATAATCAAAGGGAAGAAGGTGACTAGACTAATTGACAGTGGTAGTACCTACTGTTTCATGGATGAACAATTAGCAGGTGAATTGAAACTAAACACTAGGGGATAAAACTAACTGTGAATGTAGCCAATGGGGAGAAACTGGTATCCAAGGGGTGGCTAATCCACTTAGTTGGAGATACAAGGCTGTAATTTTCAACACTCTTTCAACACCCTAAGATTGGGAAGCTGTGATATGATATTACGGGTGGATTGGTTGGCCAGACATAGTCCCATGGTGTTTGACTTTAAAAGACTGAGTGTGAAGTTCCAGAAGGAAGACCAGGCAGTAGAGCTGTTTGGGCTAGGCAATGAGGTGAAACTGAAAGATGCTTAAGGGAAACAGGATGAAGAAATGGCTGAGGAAACAAGCTTATTGAGTAGTGGCACATATAATGTCAATAGAAGACAATAGAGAATCAGAACCAATCCCTATTGAAATCAGTACGGTGTTAGACCAATTCAATGGTGTCTTTGAAAAACCAAAAGGCATGCCACCATCTAGGAGCCATGATCATCAAATTATCCTAAAAGAAGGAGCCAAACCATTCCAAGTAAGGCCATACAGATGCCTTTATGTAAAGAAAATTGAGATTGAGGTTGGTGAAGGAGATGTTGGAGATTGGTATAATACAATCTAGCAATAGTTCACTTGCCTCACCAGTGTTGCTAGTCAAGAAGAAGGATGGGACTTGGGAGGTTTGTGTGGATTACAGGCAGTTGAATGAACTAACAGTGAAGAACAAATTTCCTATGCCCCTTATTGATGAACTGATTGATGAATTTCATGGAGTCGGGTACTTTACTAAAATTGATCTGAGGGCAGGATACTTCCAGATCAGAGTAAAGGTGGGGGATATACCAAAGACAGCTTTCAGAACTCATCAGGGACTCTATGAATTCAAGGTCATGCCCTTTGGCCTGACCAATGCACCAGCAACTTTCCAGAGTCTAATGAATCAGGTTTTCCAGAACTTGTTGAGGAAATATATGTTAGTATTCTTTGATGACATTCTGGTGTATAATCCTACACTAAAGGGCCACGTGGAGCATGTAACTGAAGTACTGAACGTCCTGAGACAACACCAACTATATGCCAAAATGAGCAAATGCTCTTTTGCCAGCTGCAATCGGAGTACCTGGGGCACATAATCTCAGCAAAAGGAGTCCAAGCTAACCCCAATAAGGTGGAGTGCATGAAGAACTGGCCTAGGCCAGAAAATGTTAAGCAGCTGAAGGGATTCCTGGGTTTAACAGGCTATTTGTAAGAGGTTTGTTAAGGGTTATAGAGCCATTGCCAAACCACTAACTATGTAGCTAAAGAAAGACAAGTTCTAGTGGGGAGAGGATTTTAAAGGAGCATTTCAGGAGCTAAAGAGAGCTATGTGCAACACTCCTGTTTTAGCAGTTCCAGATTTTTCTCAACCATCCATCATTGAAACAGATGCATGTCAAACTGGCATAGGGGCTATACTAATGCAAGGCAAGAGGCCAATAGCTTATCTACTTTGGGACAAAACAATATTGGATTATCAATATATAAGAAAGAGCTATTGGCACTAGTAACTATTGTAGCCAAATGGAGACACTATTTGGAGGGATATCATTTTATAATTCACACTGATCACCAAAGCTTGAAATACCTATTGGCACAAAGGATCACTACTCCTCTCCAACAAAAGTGGCTCTCTAAACTATTGGGGTTGAGTTATGAGATTCAGTATAAGAAAGGAAGGGACAATGTACCTACTGATGCCTTCTCCAAATAAGAAAGAGAATGCACAATGCCAACTTGGATCAAGGAATGATAGAAAGCTATAAGGCTGATGAGTGGGTGCAAAATATTATAAATGAGGTGCTGGTAACCCCTGCTCAAGTACCAAATTATACTTATCAAGATGAAATTCTGAGGAATAACAAAAGACTAGTGGCAGAAGCACATGGAGGCATAAGACAAAAGCTTATCACTACATTACATGACTCCTGGGTGGGGGGACATTCGGACATCCAAGCCAATTTCATGAGGGCTAAACAATTGTTTTATTGGCCAGGGATGTACAAAGAAATCAGGAAGGCAGTTCTTGAGTGTGATATTTACAGGAAGTGCAAAGATGGACATGTGGCGTATCCAGGACTAGTCCAACCCCCCTATTCCACAGTATTCATGAAGCCATGTCACTATGGACTTCATTGAGGTCTTGCCAAGTTTAGAAGAGGGAGATACTATTATGGCGGTTGTGGACAGATTTATCAAGTATGCTCATTTTATCAGTTTATCACACCCTTTTGATGCACCAAAAATAGCCAGGATTTTCTTTGACCAAGTCAGTAAACTCCATGGAATTCTTCAAAGCATGCTGTTAGACAAGGATAAAATCTTTATCAGTCAGTTCTAGGGAGAATTATTTACAATGCTAGGGGCCAAATTGGATTACAATACAGCTTACCACTCTTAAATA